CACCCAGTGGAGCTGGTTTCACATCAGTATAGCTCTATTTTCAAGTGGGGCAGGGGAGGAGTCAGACCTAGGGAGGATTTTACTTATGTTTTTTCCCCTAGCATATTCCATTTCTATTATTGAGCTTGTACAAACAGCAAGAGAAAAAAAAACAGCCAGGTTGAAGAGTTGGTTTAAGACTGGTGGTTTCCCTTTAACCTCATGCTGGTATTATCGCTTCTGCAAAGCAGTCTGGAACAGAGCAACAAGACAAGTGCCCGAGCTGATGAAGCTCCACTAAAAGTGATTTCAAAGTTGCCAGCCCCAGGTACTCGAGACTCAACCCCAGAGATCACAAGATTGATTTAAAATGTTTTAAAAACAACCATGAGATATAATACTAGGCTTCTGGTTTTTGACCTTCTGGGGATCATTCATTTCACATTTTCAAGCCTTTCTTGGCAACTATTATAAGGGCTAGACCCTTGCTGTTTTCACTGAAGTGAAGAGTCTCAATTCCATAAGCCTGCACTCAAAGAATGAACAATACAAACCATGAGCCCCGTGGGAATAAAATGCTAAGAGTTGGTCCCATCAGGCACTTCCCCCAGCTAGAAGGCTAGTAGCATCACTGCTCTTTCTGAAGCCATGTTCAGGTGCGGGGGGGGCTATAAAATTTGAGTCAGCTTTTCCAAAGTGGTCTCTCATTCAGGATGTTTTCTTTCTTAGAAACCCATCTCAAGACAAGTGGGGCCAAGTTGCAGAGATGCCAAGAGCCCACAACTCTGAACAAAGTCCCTGCAAGCTGCCTGAGTTCAAGCCCTCTGAAATCGAGGGTCCCCCAGGTGCCACCGACTAGAGCACTTCAAAATCAGCGGCCGCTTTTGGAAACGCTACCCTTGATCTTGTAGCTTTTGTTCTAAAACAAAGCAGTGCAGCTGTGCAGACAGTTCAGATGTACCTGTTTTTCCACCCCCTTTCTACCGGCTGCAGGCCTGTTCAGATGCAGACAACGGGGGAGATTTTCCAAGGCAGGGCAGGGGGGCACCTTAGAGATCAACTGGTTCGGAGGCATCATGCCTCTTTGAACCAGTTCGTCTTAAGGTGTCACCGTGCCCTACATTCCCCCCGACTTCAAACTCCCAATGGCTTTCAGTCAGAGATAAGGGGTCTACTTACCGCTTGTGCCTGTAAAAGTCTGCCTCCCTCCCAAGTAATTCTGGTTTTACAAGTGTGATTACGTGTAAAGAAATGTGACTGGGGGGGGGCGGCTCTGTGGAAGGGAACGGGACAGTGGAAGTTCATTGGAAGAGTAGATCAACAAGCAAGATGCTTCGAACCTGCCCATCCTACACACAGCCTAAAGTCTTTCCATTGACTTCAGTGGAAATTGGAGCCCAGATGACACCGAGTAAGGGGAAGAGAATTCATCACCTGCTGGGAAGGACGCGAAACGTCACAGCAATATTGTGATTCATCCGTTTTCAACTGCCTCTTGGTTCTTGCCGGAGAATCCCCTCCACCCACTCCCCTCTTTTTTTTCCTTAATTCAGTAAGTGTTTGCTTTGGGTGGAAATGGGAGAAAACATCATGAAACTCGCCTTCCCGCAGTTTCAGTAACCTACCGCTTTGTAACAAAGGCAAGAGAGCAGAAAAAGCAGAGGGTACCCACACAGCCTGGAAGTATCCATGAAATAGCAGCTCTTGCTGAGCAACCCACGTGGTCACGGGAGTAAGGCCTCTGTAGATCCAACGAAGTCTGAGTATCCTAAATTAGAAACCAGCAACACACACGCTCCGGCAGGAGCCCTCCGTCCCAGTTCTGGGCTCTGTGAGCCATGGCTCTGTGTTAAGTCTCCCAACCTCTGTTCTCCTAAACAGCACACAACGGAGGGAGCTCTGTGCATCAACCAGGGTCTAGGAGACAGCCAAGTTCAGCCCTGACATAAAGCTCTAGTTCAGGCAGGACCTGAAGGGAACAATTTCATTAATTATTTTAATCCAAGGTGTTAGAAACAGAAGCTGGGGGGTTTTATTCTCACTAACACCCAATTAACATTTGGAAAAAAAATCTCCCTTTACCATAAAACTAGCTCCTCTGGTCCTTGCAAGTAAGGCAGAGAAAGCTCTTCATGCCCAACTCAGGCACCTCTCCTCTGCCCCGACTCCAACACAAGTCTTCCACCAGCATCAGGGAAAACAGATGCAATTAAGTAACACAGCCACCACCAACACTGTGGCCTTCCGGCCTTTCCTCCCGAGAAGTGAAAGGTGCAGCGCCCCATCACTTTGGCCAGGTTGGCTTCCAAAAAAGTGCTCCAGAGCAGCGTGCTCAATCTGTGGGTTGCAACCCAAAAGTGGGTTGCAAGAATGTATGAAAGGGTCACAAACAAACCTTAAAAATGGATTCTCCTTTATTGGACAAAAAACATGGGAAACCGTGGCTTTTCCCTTGCAGGCTGATAGAGCTGCAGCCTGCAAGGGGCTGCTTGGGGCCCCCCATACCCACCCTCTACCCCACACACTGGGGGCTTGGAGTGGGGCACTGGGTCAGGACTGGCCGTCACTGTTTACAAATGGGTCCTGGTACAAAAAAGGTTGAGAACCGCTGCTCTGGAGAAATGCAGGAGATGCTAGATCCTCATCTTGTAAAAGGCACCCCATGGACTCCTGGAGAGCCAGGCAGATGTAACTTCTGTATCTCCCATTTAGCAAGAGAGGGGTGGGGAGAAAAAAAAAAAAAAAAAAAAAAAAAAAAAAAATCGAAGAAATATCCTCCTTTGTGGAAGAAAAGCAACTCCCTCAGATAGCATCCCCTGGAGAGACAATCAACCATTTGAAAGTGACTGTGAGTGACATGCAGATGATGCCACGCTTGGGGTGCCCCCCCCCATAAGAATCAGGAGTCGGGGGCGGAGCGGGGGGGGGGATGGGGACACAACTCTTTTTGTCTTTCTTGCTTAAGCCACAAAATAATTTCCACAGAGGAGCTGTATCACCTGATCAGCACCTGGGGCTACTTTGAAGTCTGTTTTGTTTCCCTCTGGTGACTGGGTTTGCCGGCATAACTGAAGTCTGGTGTCAGTTTGCGGGGGGTGCGTGCATGCCTGCTTCTGTGTTTGCCTAGCTTCGGTCCCATGTACGTGTGGGTCCCCATGGGTTTGCAGCTCTGCGCAGTTGTCTGGGTGACTGTGTGTGTTCATCTGTTCGTGTTTGCCCTCGTTTCTTCTGGGTGTGTGGGTCTCTCTGCTTGCCTCTGGGTGCATTTGTGCAACTGCATCGTTAGTTCTCAAGCCTGTTAGACTTCAGAAAATGCCAGCTCTTAACCTGCACTCATTTTTTTTAACTGCAGAAAAACAAGACGGCCATTTCTCTGCTGCAAAGAGCTCAGAAAGCCTGCAGCAGGGCAGGATGGGTTTGACACTGTGGATTCCTTTTGGGAATGGCTGGGTCCGTCTTGTGAACCGTGGGTAGGTGCTTGCACACTTAGCGCTAATATTGCAAACACCTGAAAAGGATCTCATGGTTGACAATCACAGGGCTACATGTTTATCTGAATGATGGCATCTGTCTTTGAATCCGTGTGCGTGTTTGCACTTCTCTGCGTCTTCATGCCAAGCCTGGGTGAGACTTGGTGGGGAGCGGAAACGTGCTGTCTCCTTGGATCAGGCTGGGCCCCCTGGTTCAGGAGGAATGTGCTGGAGGTGGAGCGTGGCAAGGGGAGAGAAACTATTTTCCCTTGAACATATGCCTGGGTTGTACAGTAATATGTTGCGGTCCTCTTTCATCTCTGACCCACACCCCCGACTGAAGCATGCTGTAGTAGCCATGCTTTGACCAAAGACAATAGGACCTACATTTAAAAAGCGAATGTGGTAGTCAGCATAGCCACCACTCACCACAAAAGCCAACCCTCAGCTCTGGACAGTGCTGATTTGCCCACAGGAATGACCCCCGTCTCTCATGTGACCAGCAAGGTCAGCCCCAAAAGATCTGGTTCCCGGAAAATTTTGCAAGACCGGGGGGGTGGGCAGATAACAGTCTGAGCAGCCTCAGGCTCAGAGCTGCCAAGCTACCCCCTCTATGGTCCTGACTCAAAATCTTGGATCCACACAGCTTGAATTTTGCCCCTTGGTCCTGTCTCTTATTTCTTGTGGCTTGGGGTCAGCAGAGAGGCGACTTCAAAGGGGGCATGTTGGAGAAGAACTGGACACAGGCTGGGTTTGCAGCTGCATTTGGGTTTGAACTCAGACAAGCAGGCAGTTCTGCACCGAGTCTGCATCTAAAAAGCTATAGACCACAATATCAGCCAGGGGTAATTCAGCGTCCTTTCACTGCAGACACGGATTTGCCCTGCTCCTCACTTCCAAGACAAAACAGCCTAATACCAACCAGACCCTCCAGCTTGCTCCCAGCTTCAAGGCTGGCAGCTCAGGACGGGGAGATGCAAGGCAGATTACACAGAGCGCTTGACATTTCAGGGCACAACTCCCAGCTTTCCTCCTCGCTTTGCCCTGCAAGTTGGGACTTTGGAAGCCGTGACTCACTAGACTCCTCGCCCTCACTTCAGCTGGGGACAGTCCCTCTGGGGATCCCCTTAGAAAGCAGTTTTACTAGGATTTTGGGAGGGTTGGCAAGGAGATGAAAGCTTGTGTTAGAGGCAGCAACTCAAGAACTCAAACAGCTCAACGGCAAACATGGGCCTTTCTGTCCAAAGGTCTTTCAGACAGGACCCTGTACCCCAAGAGCAACCAGCCTAAGCAGCCAGACTCCTCTGTGTACTGGCCTGATACCATAGCAATGGACTCATTTCCCATTTTATATTCTCACTTCACACCCACCAAAAAGCAAGTCCTTCCCCAAAGACATTGTTCTGCCCCAGAGGAACCATCACTTCCCAGCCAGGGAAGAGCTTGCACAGACCCCAGTGCCACTCCATGCCCGCTCATGACAGCAATCCCCAGGTCCCAGCCCGAAGGCACAGCTGTTTTCACCCAACATGGCCCCAGTCCTTCCCTTACCTGCTTGGCGTGAGATGTGGATGAGCTGTTTTCAGATTTCCATGGCCAGTGAGTGAAAGCACCTTCCCAGTCACATGCTAGTCTCCATCCTTGGGGTGTAGACCATGGAAACAACCTCCCGGACAGCAGCCCAGCCTGTCCTCACATCAGGGAATGGCACCAGCACAGTCTCGCTTGCTCACTCTCGCACTCTGCCTTCCCTGATTTCCTGCCTTCTGCGATCTCATGAGCAAGCTCTAGAAGTTTGTTCTCAGCACTCGCCCGACCACAGCATGCTAGCGAGGGAGGTTTCCTGCCATCCGCAGACCTGTCGTTCTAAAGATGGAAGATACTGGTACAGAGGGGCATCGTCACCGCCTGGGTATCATCTCCCCAATGCCGACACAGGTGTTGGCTGTAACCCCCACTGCCACCCACCACCCTGCAGGGAAGTCCAGTGAGAGACACGCAGCTCCCAGCGTGCTGCAGATGCTTTCGGCTGGTCTTGTAAAGAGAGGATGTTAAGACTGCACATGTGGGGGAAGGTAGGAGTGTGGGGGTGAATTCTGGCCTACATCCTGATTAGGCGCCAAGTGATATGCTGCGCATATTAGGAGGGCAATGCAAAAATTTAAAAGATCCTAGTTTGGGTGGCCATGCCCCAATGCACAAAAAACTGGAACTCTCTCCATGGCACTGACAAGGCCTCAGCCCCTGGCATCACTGAGGATAAGCAGCCCTGCAAGGTAAGAAGGTGCCATTTCCCCTCGAGGAACTGAGGCATACTTGGGGGGCTAAGCAACATGACCAGGAAGCACATGGGAACACACAAGCCCCATGTGGCAGAGCAGGGAATTGAACCTGAGTCCCTGGACAGCTCTCTCACCATGGCACTGGCCTTGCTCTCCTGTTAAAAGGGTCTCTTTATCTTTGCCATGAATCCAAGGTCCCAGCACAATATCCAGCATAATCATGCTGATAGACTCTCAACAAGATCAAAGCCAGTCCGTCCCCCTACCCAAAACACACAATCCTAATGATTCTCCAGCCTGAATGGTCAGGTGCCCATACCCACCTTGGTTGATGAGGGGCAGCCTCTGGCATGCGTTCAGAATAAGACGTGAACTTGTGCCGCTGGAGCTGTAGCAGGACAGCTGAATCATTTTCCACATACTCTGTGCTGTACCACACTTGTGTGGTACAGCACAGAGTGCTAGATGATCTGCTCAGGTCCCTTCCGACCCTAGAAACTATGAAAGTGATAACCATTACCAGCAGACACAGAGCAAAATGCAGCCCTGACTCATGTCCTACACGGTGACTGGGTGATGTGCTAAGTACCCAGGGCCTGAACACACCAAGACCAGACCACAACCAGCTGCAGCTTGGCTGCTAACTCAGTGGTTCTGCTTGGATTTTTGCAGACGAGGCCGAGGAGGGTGAGGAGTTCAGAGGTGTGAACTTGTCCTGAAAGCCCGGTGTCAATAAGTGAGAGAGCCCTCTGCTTACAAAAAGTTTATCTCCAACTTAGTCTGTAAGATGCAAATCTACCCTGCCTTCTGTTGAGAAGTGAATCAGACCTTCTCTTCCCCAGCAGTCCTCCATCATACCTCATCTTTCACCACTTGCACAAGGCCCCAAACTTTGCACACATGGTGCGAGGGAACACCCACTGCCCTACAATGCTTGCAGATTAAAAAGAAGGGGAAAATAAAAGGTGGGAGTGGAAACAGGGGCACAGAAAAAGGAAGGAACATGGGCAGGGTCATACAGCCAGTCAGTGGCAGAGGCACGAGGACATGCACCTCCAGAATTGCCATCCAGAGAGCAAACGTAGGCCAGGCTGTGAGAGAGGCAGGTAATGAGCCACAGGGGAACCGAGCCAGCCTTCTCTGACAGAGAACAAGGGCTTGGCTTTCTTCTTTCCTCTCCAGATGGGCTGAGCAGCGAAGACATTGTCTTCAGAGGCACTCCATGTTACCTTGCCAAAGCCCTACGCTCTGCCAGTGCTGACAGCACAAGAACCACAAAGCTATTGTCTTGGCTTGTGAGATCAAATGCAAAGCCACAGGTACCAACAGCCGGCTCTGCAAGAAGGAAGGCAGGAAGTCAAGAGAATATGACACAGAGCAACAGGGGAGAGAGGCTCAACGAGGGGGCCATGACTTCCACACAGGGCGATATGCCTGGGCACATGTCAGGGGCATTTTGAACAACAAGGACAACCAAAGGAGTGAAGTGCCTCCAGCTTCCCCATAGTCCAGCTGCGATCTTTAGGCCAGCAATTGCCCCGCAGACAGCAACACGCATATGGATGTTGCTGTAGCTTGGGCTCTGGCTAGCTCTTTGGAGAGACTTCTCCAGGGGGCTAGCGGAAAGGGCAGGTTGAGCAGGAGGCAATTGTTAAAACACCCTCAATTCAGCACTTCCATGCAGCTGACCTAGCAACTTGACATCCTGTCCAGACTCCTGCTCATGTAACTGCAGACCTGAATTCCTCTCCCAGTTTGACTGGATGTGGTTTCAGCTTCACTTCCTGTCCTAATGTTGCTCTGCTTCGTTAGCATGCTGCTCTGACCCACCCCAAAGCAGGTTGCGTTTCAGTGGTAGGCGAAACAAGCCTCTTGCGTGGCGTAGAAGTTTGCAAACTGCTTTAGGATATTTCAGGACCAAAAAATAAATAATACCATCAAAGCATCAATCAATCATTTTTATTGCTGTTATGGCAACTGTACAAAAAAAGACAGGTGTGCTTTGCAAAAGATATGTCAGGCTTTCAGCCTCTCTGCATCTGGAAAGCGGCAACAAAAGCATCAGCACCATTTCCCATCTGCCAGCACAGATCGTGAAAAAAAATCTAGTGTCCTCTTTTATCATCAAAAACACTGAAAACCGGCAAAAATACTGACTGCTTTTACAATAAAGCATCTGGGCAGGGTGGGAGGGACGGGGACTCAGTCCATTTTTCAAGGCAAAGAACCCCTTTTTGTTTGAAAAAGGTCAACGGGATCTCAGTGTTGTTAAGCGCTGACAATCTTCCTGTATTTTCTTTGAAGGCTTGGAGCCAGAAGATCCTTAGCAGGCTTCTTCACTGCACCAGCAGCAATTTGTTCCAACAGAGGCTGTGGGACTCAGGGCTGAAAATTTGAAGCCGGGGTTTCAGGGTTCAGCTCCTTCACTAAGGGTCTGAGCTGAGCAGGGAGCCAGAACGCAGGGCCCCTGGATTCTCTTCCCAGCTCTGTCCCCAACTTGCAGGTGTTTGGAGCAGGCTGTACTACTTTCAACCCAGGCCTCCATCAGCAGCGGCCTCCCTCTTTTGTAGATGGCCCTCAGCAGAGGCTGCAAGCTTCCACAGATCTGGCACTTGGCTCCAAGATCCGTGGCAAAGTGTCAAATCAGGATTCATCACTCTCAGCCAAAGGAACGAACACTCCCTGGAAAAATCAGCTTCCCAAACAAGGGGTCAGGGTGGGGACTGCAAGTGAGCTGAGATAAAAAAAAAAAACCGAAGTCCCTAAGCTGCAGGTAAGTCATCACACCAGCCGGAGAGAACATGAAACACAGAAGCTACCATGCATGTGGCCAAACAAAGGCACCTGCTTCGGTGGGGCTGTTCACTGGCTCCCCATAGAGCCGGCACCCCTCTCATCTGAGGCCTCAGCAAAACCGAATGGAAACAGCAGCACGTAGCGGAAGCGAGCAACAAACCCAAGGTGCTCGCCGCCTTTTTCCTCCACCATTACCAGGCAGCAATGTGGAGGGGGAGGGGACCGGCCCACTCAGCGCAAGGCTGGGGGAACATGGATTAGATGGCTTGATCAGAAGTAATCTCCAGGCCGAGTCAGGCCAGCTCTAGGGGCTTCGACGCAGGTGTGTGGCACAGGGGAGGGAGGCCCCGTCTGTGCAAGCCTGGGATCAGACAGCTCTGGGGGCGGCAAGGAGGCCACTAGCACATGCGACACACAGAAGGCAAGCCGCCTTTGCATCGCCTTCTTTTCTTGCTGCACGGAAAGTTTATTCGTGCTTTTCAGCATCAGCAAGCAGCCTCCAGCCACGTGGCATGCGTCACTGCAGCCACAGATGCTTCAGCAGCGATGCTCCCTCCCCTCCCATGACAGCATCACATGCTGCTGGGAAGAGCTGGCTTACCTTGTGCATGCCACATGGCTCCAGGGCTGCTCACCTTGTGCAGGTTCAGGGCTTATGGCAAGTGCAGAGCTCTGTGCATCTTGGAGATGCTGCTCCATAGAGCAGAGACCACCGGGGAGCAGGGACTGAGGAGCGAGAGGGCAATAGCCACTGCAGGGCAACAGGAGGCAGCTAATAGGCCAAATGTGATAGGAGTAGACAGGGCTCAGCTCCCCTGCTGCCCACCTGCCTCTGCAGCGCACATCCCTCCAGCTGCACGGGATTGAGCTGAGGACTGAAGACAGAAGCAGATTCTAGTGCCTAGTGAGGAGAGTCCAACTTTCCCAGCTCCATCCATGCCTCAGGTCCTAGGCAATCAGTGCAGCCCTGGCCCAGTCTTGCCAGGTCTGGTTTCAAGCAGGCTGTTGCAGTGTCACCAACGAGGGACACTCAGCAAGGAGAGATGAGGCACCTCTGGGCAATAGGAGCAAGCAAGGCAGCAGGATGTCAGAGAAGCAGCCTGCAATACAGCCACCCCGCACTGTTTTCCCTCCAACCTGCCTGTTGGGTCCTTACATTCAGCCTAAGTATCTCTGCAGGGATGCGTGGTACAGCTGCCCACGTTCAGGGCCAGGCGGTGCCCCCTGACAGCCCAGGGGAGCCCAGCAGCCTCAGCAGAGGGAGAAGCGGCGGGAGTTGATGTTCATGCGGGTGACGCCGATGTGTTTGAGTGGTGTGGAGAGGAGGAAGGCAGCTTTGGGTGGGATGTTGCAGAGCAGGTCCGAGTCCTCCTCACAGCCTTCCAGGCCGAAGGTGGCATCGTCCAGCATCTCCTTGTGCTGGTGGCAGGCCTGCTCCACCTTCAGCCGGTGGATCTGCCCTCGCAGCTGCATCAGCTGCCGTGCCAGCTGGTGGTCCACAGCCTGCATCTCCTGCTGCGCAGAGGGAAAAAGGAGCCATGAGGGGGCCACTGCTGAGACTGCGCTAGAGCCAGACACAGAGGAGCCCCGAGGGGGAGATCTGCACAGCAGAGCATGGCATGACCGCAGCATGCCCACCCAAGCCTTGCACTCCCTGTTCTCTCCTAGCTAGCGCACAGACTGTAGCACAGCTCACGGGCTTCAACTCCATAGCAGCTCTTGGGGGCCCCCAAGCACATGCTGCTGCCTTTCTAGAGT